AAAAAAGAGAAAAATAGTAGATGAAGGTTAAATATCTTTATAATGAAGCAAGAAACACTTTTCTTGAGGAAGAAGCTGTTAAACCTGACCTCTGTGGATGTATTGTAGATGCCTCTGTCATTGAATACCCATTAGTAACCTCTTTGATTATTATTATAAAGAACGGCAAGATCTTTATAAAATTGAAAATCTGAAGTCCAGACAACATTTTCAGCTTCAGCAATTTCTAGGTAATAACCTAGATCTTTTTACTTGGTAGAAAGGGCCAATAGGCTGAACTAATTTCATAAAGCATTATATCGACACCAGCGATGCACTCCCAATTAAGCAATAACCATACCGGCATTCTTCTGCTGAAAAAAAAATTATCTAAAACGAAATTGGGTATATGATTTCAGCTGGAATTATTCATCCCTGCCAAAGCCCCTAAATCTCCCTTGTTATATTGGTCTCTAAAGAAGACGGAAGTACCTGATTTTGCGCCAACTATCATAAATTAAACACTGTCACTATCAAAGATAATTACCTCCTTTCCGCATCAATGATCTTTTGGATACCCTCTCCGGATCATGTTAGTATAGCTTCTTAGATCTTGCTAGTAGATACTGGCAGGTCGAAGTTGAAGAATCAGATCGACTGAAGACTGTCTTTACAACCTTTTTTGGCACTTTCCAATTTAACATTATGACTTTCGGCTTAGCAAACGCTTCTGCGATATTTCAACGCCTAATAGATTATATCTTCCAGAATTTAATTAGCAAATGTGCTGTTATTTACTTAGATGACATTAATGTTTATTCTAAGAGTTTCGAAGAACATCTAACCCATCTGGCAGAAGTTTTCTAGTGCTTAAACTCCGCTAGTCTTCGACTAAAACCTACCAAGTATTACTTCACGAAGCGAGAGTTAAAATTTCTAGATCATGTGGTTAGCCAGAAGGGTATCATTACACCCGAGAAAAATTGTAGCTGTCCAGAATTTTTTTGTCCCCTGTAATATCTGGCAACTTAAAGACTTTTTGGGGTTAGCATCCTACTACTAGAAGTTCATTAGAGGTTTTACTAATATTGCAGCACCTTTAAACCAACTTTTAAAAAAAAGTGTTAGTTATAGATAGACTATTGACCAACAGATAGCTTTTGAAACCTTGAAAAAAAATTAACAACTGCCCCAGTACTTGCTACCCTGATTTTTCCCAAACCTTCATCCTCTTTACCAACGCTTCGGATCAAGCTTTAGGTACCATTCTCATCCAAAATGATGACGCCCATTGAGAGAGGGTAATTTCCTATGTGAGCCGTAGCCTCACTCTAGCCGAAAAGAATTATTCCATCACAAGAAGGAGTGCCTAGCTGTTGTCTGGGCTGTTGAATATTTTTGACCTTACCTCCATGAGAACCGTTTTCTTCTATATACTGATTATTCTGCTCT